AGCCTGCTCAGGAAACAGTGTACAGACTCTTTCCTACATGGCCGGCCCCATCTGCCTTTTCAGAAAACGTCTCTGGGTGCTGGTGGGAGGCGGGCTTGGGGGCCAGAGGAGCTGGGCTTGCACGCAGCTGATCCCGACAGCACGTGGTTCCCCCAAGCCTGAAGCTGGTAGGGGCCTCCAGCATCACCGGGTGTGACCCAGGCACCCCCATCCACCCTCAAGTCACTCAGTGCTCCCTGGGTATCGCCTTTAAGTCATCGAAGTGACCCTCAGTTGTGTCTGAGGTGGCTGCCAGCTGCCTCCAGTCCCCTCCACACCCCCCAGAGGGGGCGGGATCTCCCATTTTTGGAAGCCAAGAGGGAAAACCTGCAGGAGGTACTGGGTGCGGTCCCTACAGCCGCCAGCCTGTCCTTAGAGTGCCCCCGCTCCCTGCGCAGGAAATCGGGCGCATCTCCATCGAGATGAACGGGACCCTGGAGGACCAGCTGAGCCACCTGAAGCAGTACGAGGGCAGCATCGTGGACTACAAGCCCAACCTTGACGTGCTCGAGCAGCAGCACCAGCTCATCCAGGAGGCCCTCATCTTCGACAACAAGCACACCAACTACACCATGGAGGTGGGCACACACGCCCCCACCCGGCCCGGCACCCGGGACAGGCAGCTCAGGGCACGAACCTGGGTGATGGGGCTGGGGCCCCTGACAACCCCCCAGCCCGTTGCGGCCTGGGCAGTTCTGAGGCGAGGACACAGATCCCAACAGCGGCTGTGGCACCAGGGCCGGTTGCCATCCCAGTAACAGCCGGGGGTCATTCCTGGTGATTGTGACCACACAGCACCACGTGGGCCCTGAAAAACAGGTCTCTCTAGGAGTCAGACCCATGGGACAACGGAGAGGGCATTTGCCTTGCACACAGCTGATCTGGGTTCAATCCCCAGCATCCCATGTTGTCCCTGGAGTACAGCCAAGAGTAATTCCTGAGCATTGCTGGATGTGACCCCCAAACAGGCAAACAGAAAGGGTCTCCCTCCCCTCACTTCAACAGCCATTTGTTAAGTTCTGCCCAGCATAACTCATGGGCCTGTCCCCAGGCCTGTGCCACAGCCCGTCATGCCAGAGTTCCCCTGTGTGCACAGGCCGACACAGAGTGTGTGTTGAGTTCTGACCCCTAGCCCACGCTTGCGCCTCTGTCCCGCCCCTGCAGCACATCCGCGTGGGCTGGGAGCAGCTGCTCACCACCATCGCCCGCACCATCAACGAGGTGGAGAACCAGATCCTCACCCGGGACGCCAAGGGCATCAGCCAGGAGCAGATGCAGGAGTTCCGCGCCTCCTTCAACCACTTTGACAAGGTGAGCTGCTGTCACTGCCCGTCCACCCCTGTCTGTGTCTGTTCCTGTGACCATGTCGTTCACCCGGTCCGGCAAGGCCTCCGGGCCCTGCAGGGGCCCCCTTGATCTCACTCTCCACCAGGCAGGTGCCCAGCTCTGCCTCTGAGGCTGAATCCTCACCCACCCACCAATGCACCCCGGAATTCAGGGCATGGTTGGTGCTCGTGTGTGTGCGTGTTCATGTAGCACACACACACACACATTCTCAGAGGCATACACACAGACATGCACTCTTACTCTCCACTCTCAGAGACACAGACACACACACACTCTTACAGGCACACTCAGACACACTCAGAGACACGCAGACACACAGACTCACAGTCATACATAATTTCTCTGTCTTTCCGTCCTCCTGTGTGGAGCCCATGTGTCAACTGTATCGTGTATGTGTGTGTGTGCATATGCACATACAGTCTCCCTGATACAAACACAGACACGTGCAGGCACTCTTACAGAGACGTGCGCGCGCACGTACACACACACTCTCACAGGCCATGACACCCTCCACCCGAGTGCATGCACTCAGCTGGGCCCAGAGGCCCCCTGACCCCCAGTCACAGACTGCAGTTGCCCCCACACCCCGACCCCCAGTCCCAGCAGCAGGAGAGCGCCCCCCTCCCACCAGCCCCTCACACACGCAGCTGCTGTCCCTTCTCTGAGGCCAGCCCCGCGCCGGCCACCCCTGTCCACGTCCCCTCTAACTGTGTGTTTCCCTCCCCTATGTGTCCCCCCGCCCTGTGCATGTGGCCCTGGTCCCTGCCCCATCCCGTCCGTCCGCCCGCCCTCCACACGGGTCCTCCCGCACCTGCCTTCGGACGCCGGCAGGACCACGGCGGGGCACTGGGGCCCGAGGAGTTTAAGGCCTGCCTCATCAGCCTGGGCTACGACGTGGAGAACGACCGCCAGGTATGCCGCCTGCGCCTGGCCCTAACCGCTCTTCTCTCTCCTCTCTCTCGCCTCCTCCGCCCCTGCCGTCCTGCCGGCCCTCTGGCCTCCCCTGCCCTGTCTCTCCGGCACCGCCCCCTTACCTGGTCTCTTGGGGCCTCTGTCTCCCTGCTGCCGCCACTGTCCTGTTCCCCGCTGTGCGCCTGGGGCGGCCCCTCTTGCCGCCGAGCAGAAGCAGACAGGCAGCATGGACTCGGACGACTTCAGGGCTCTGCTTATCTCTACAGGATACAGCCTGGTACGCGGCTCCCTCCCCTGCTACTGCTGCCCTGTCCTCGGGACACTCCTCCGCCAGCCCTCGCTGGCCACGGGGGCCTCGACGACGTCCCCAGCCTCCCCCGCCTCCCCACGCACAGGGGCGCAGCCTTCTGGCTCCCCGCCTTTTCTTTCTCTTTCTGTCTTTCCTCCCCACCCTCCAGAGTTTAATTCGTGGGCCTCGGGCAGAGGAGAAGTCGGGCTGTTTGAGCATGACCCCCGCACTCCCCACATCCCAGAAGACGGGGCGGGGGGTGGGGTGAGGATGGAGCGGGTGGGGACAGGCTGGTGGCCCCGGGGTCAGCTGGGTCCCCGTGGGGTCCGGCTGGCACAGGCCTGGCGGCCCGGCCCCACTCAAAGCTGCCGCCTCGCAGGGAGATGCTGAGTTCAACCGCATCATGAGCGTGGTGGACCCCAACCACAGCGGGCTGGTCACCTTCCAAGCCTTCATCGACTTCATGTCCAGGGAGACTACGGACACCGACACGGCCGACCAGGTCATCGCCTCCTTCAAGGTCCTGGCGGGTGACAAGGTAGGCTGGGGGGTTGGTGGGGGGGGGATGTGGGGGTATTTGTGTTTACATGACATGGCGGTGTGTGTTGATGGTGTGGTGGGTTGTACGTGTGGTATGGTGTGTTACAGGAGTGTATCTGATGTGTATCATTTGTGTTAACATGGTGTGAGGGGATGTGTTTGTGTATGTATAGGATGGTGTGTGTTATGGAAGTGCATGTGTGTGGTGGGGTGTGTGTTTATGGTGTGTGTGTGGTGTATCTGTGTGTTGTGGGTGTTGTGGTGTGTGTTGTGGGAGTGCGGTATCTGATGTATATGGTGTAAGGGGTATCTGATGTGTGTGTATTGTGGGTGTGTATGTGGGGAGGTATTGGTGCTTCCGTGGTGTGGGGCTGTGTGTGTGTTGGGGGGCGGTGGGTAGCCCAGAGTCCTGCCCTGCCACCCCCCAGAACTTCATCACGGCGGAGGAGCTGCGGCGAGAGCTGCCCCCGGACCAGGCGGAGTACTGCATCGCCCGCATGGCGCCCTACCAGGGCCCTGATGCCGCGCCCGGCGCCCTGGACTACAAGTCCTTCTCCACAGCGCTGTACGGGGAGAGTGACCTGTGAGGCCCCTGCGCCCAGCACCCGGCCTCCCTGGTCCCCGTATCTATGCAAAGTCCCTGCTGTGGGAGGGCAGGGGGGCGCAGGGAGGGGCTGGGGCCGGCTCTCTCCTCTCCCACCTCAGCGCCCGGAGTCAGCGGGGCGAGTGGAAATCCGCGTCCTTCTTAACTCTGGAAAGGGGGTAGCGCCCCAACGGCGTGCAGGTCCCCTCCGAGCCCTGAGAACAGCCCCCCACCCCCACCCCCTGTCCCGCCTTCCACCTCCCCAGAGGACCCTCCAAGGCCTCCCCCACCCAGGCCAAAGCCCTACGTGCCTTGTGCAAGGACCAGGAACTTCCCAGCTGTGCGGGTCCAGCAGAGGGTGCCCTAGCCAGGCACCCAGAAGCACGGGCCCGCCCTCTTTGGGGGGGGTGCTGGGGCCCCTCTGGGTCCTGCTTTGGAGCAGAGGTGTAGTGGGACCAAACCTGCCTTGTGCCCCAGACCCGCACCACCAGCCCGCACCTCGCTTTTGTCTGGACCTGCGCAGCACTCAGATTCTCCAGGGACCAAAAAAAAAACAAAAAACAAAAAAACAAAAAAATTTAAAAAAAAAAAAAAAACAAGAACAAAATAAAACAAAAAAATCCACAAAAATCTTTAAAAAAATAGTAAAAGCTATAAAAACACAAGGACAAACTTTCAGAAGATTACTACTTTATTAACGAACGAATTTATTATATAAATATATATTCACCCTGCAACATTCTGCCACCTCCCTCTCCTAATGACGATGTAGCTGATCAACTGCCCTCCCCACCCCTGTCTCCCTGTTCTCTGTCGTAGGGCTCGGGTCTGGGGACCCCTGAGGTGCGGAGGGGGGCTGCTGGCCTGGCTGCCTGCTAGTTGATGGCTTTCCCCCCCACCCCCCGTCCCCCTCCTTTTTGAGTTTATTCTGATTTCCCCTTCCCCCCCCCTTGGTTTCTGGATAAACCATCTGAGACAATAAACATGCATATTTTTAAGGATCCCTCCCCCCAGCGTCCCATCTCTGTCCTGTGTCTCCGGAGGCCATGTGGGTGAGAGTCAGGGCACCGCTGCCGGGGAGGGGGGGGGGGGCGTCCCCGTGAGCACCGAACCACCCTGCGAGGGCACTGGCCTGCTGGCATCGCCCTGCTGGTGTGTGTGGGGGGGGGGGTGGCGGGAAACCAGCACTGGAGAGCCTGTGCCAGAACCGTGGAGGGGGGTTCTGAGCAGGAAGGAGGTGCAGAGGCATCAGCCCTGATCCAGACGAGGCATGAGTCCCATGTGGGGGTCCTAGGAGAAGGAGGCCACCTGCCTCCACTGGGCGGGAGAAGCAGCAGCAGTCACTCGGGGGTCCTGGCCCCTCCCCCGCCACCCCCTTCCCGCCCCGACTCACCTGGCTATGGGTCAGGCAGATGACCCCTTCACCCCCATCCAGGTTCTGGCTGCAGAGGCCTGCGGAGGGTCAGGGTGAGTGCCACCGTGACCCTGTCCCCCAACCCCCTCCCCCACACCCAACCTGCACTGGTGGGGGCGGGGGGTTCCTCACGGAAGATGTTGGTGAGCTGGGCCGCGCAGCACACAAAGCGCTCGAAGTCCACACGTAGCCGGCTGTCCCGGTAACGGCTGGTGAGGGCCTGGGTCAGCTGGTTGTTCAGGTGGAAGCCTGGGGGGGAAGGGGGGGGCGGGGATGGTCTCAGCCTCAGCTGCTGCCCCGCGCCCCAGGATAAGACACTGAGCCCCCCATGGGGCCCCTGCTGGTTCGTCTCTCTTCTCTGGGCCTTGGTTTGCCCATCTGTCAGATGGGGGCTATGGCCAATGTCCCATGCCCGGCCCAGCATCAGACATGCTTGGCCCTGCGACCTGCATTCTCTCCACCAGGGTCCCCCACCCCCACCCTCCAAGTCGACTTCCTGCCAGCCCACCTTCAACACACCTCTGAAATACTGGGGGGCAGGGGACAAGCAAGGCACAGCCCTTCCTGGGCACGCCTCCTCAGTTCAAATACAAGCTTACTTGGCTACTGCCAGTGCCCCCCCACCCTCAGGAAAGAAGCACCCCTGGGAGTCCAAACAAAAGTGTTCAGAAAGCTACTCCAGTACCACCCCCCAAAACCCGGCCAGGGTTCCAGCGCCCCCTGGTGGTGGGGAGCAGGATTGCCACTTCGGGAAACTGTGTGGGACTTGTGGGGACCTGAGGCCACCACCCCTCCTGGTGACCGCCCACAGTCACCCTCCCTCTGGCCTTCATCTGCCCTCCACGGGCAGGAGCGGGTGGAGGACCTGGGAAAGGGCCAAGAGCCCCTGTGGAATGTGCGGCTAAGGAAACAGTCGGCTTCCTCTGGCCACTTGGCTGGGCTCCCCCCCCCCCCCCCCCCCCCATTGGCACCTCGCCTCTTCTGACCTCTGGCCCACAGTTCCCACTCAGCCTGCCCTCCTACAGGAAGCCTTCCCAGATGTTCCTCAGTGTGCTGCATGAAACTGGACTCATCCTGGTGGGCCTTGAAGTCAAAGTCCCATAACTGGGGAAAGGTCTCCCTAGCAAGAGTTAGTTTCAGGCTGGAAGCCACAGGGGTCCAAGGAGGAACATGCAGGGTGCAAAGAATGTGACTTGAGTTGAAGCGGGTCCTCTGCAGGCAGCCTGCCTGCCTCTCCCTGAGGGTCCTTCTCCCTTACACGGGTCCTTTTCCCTGCCCCACTCCAGCCCCACTCACTTCTTCCCTTCTCCAGGTTTAAATTAAGTTTTCTCTTTCAATAGGGGCCACCCCCAACCACTCCCGGCTAGGTGACTGCGGTACCGGCTCATGGTCGGTGCTCCAACTGGTGGTTCTGGAGAAGAGGTGGAGTGGGGTGGGTGGGCACGGGCAGGGGGGCATGTGGTGCCGAGGTTGAACCCAGAGCCTCACGGGTGCCAAGCACAAACTACTACTTGAGCTTTCTCTTGACTCATAAGTTTGGGGGGAGGGTGCAAGGGGGTTAACTGGGACGGGCCTCATGCCTTAACCCCGGCACTATCTATCTTTGACACTTAATGATTGTTCTAAGGGGGCTGGAGCGATAGTACAGTGGGTAGGTTGTTTGCCTTGCAACAGGCGGACCCGGGTTCAATCTCCAGCAACTCATCAGGTCCCCTGAGTACTGCCAGGAGTAATTCCTAGGAGTAGAGCCAAGAGTAACCCCTGAGCACTGCTGGGGTGGCGCCCAAAGTAGGATACAATGACTCCTAGATCCTCTCAGACACCCACACACACCCTAGGCTCCCCTGTCCTCAGTCCATTCGGGCCGTCCACACCCCTGTGTCCCCAAGGCACCCTTTTTTAACGGGGCCAGCCCTGGCCTTGTCTGCAGTCACTGACCCACCAGCATCAGCTCCCTGGGACACCATGCACCAGCATCCTAGAGTCCCCTTACCTCTGCTGCTTTCTGCCCATGTCCCCCCTTTCTTAATCTTTTGTGCCATGTCTCCTGAACATATAGCTTGCACCCCTGGGGCCTCCCTCTGGAACCCAAGGCCCAGTCGCCCACTCACCACCATCCTCCCCCTTTCCCCGTGGCATGAAACCCTGGATTGGAGGGGGGATCATTCTTTGGAATTCTGGGATTGGTACCTGTCCCCACCTTCTCACTGGAGACCAGGAAGAGCAATGCTCTCCATCCCATGATCAGGAATCTGCACCCCCAGACCTCCCCAGGAGAAGCTGTTTCCAGGGAGGGAAGGGGGGCAGGGCCACCCAGAGAGTGAGTGAGAAGACGACAGGGGTCCCCAGGTCCCCACCTGCCGCGTTCAGTGCCAGCCTCAGCTCACACGAGTTCATGGTGCCCGACTCATCTTCATCGAACTTGTCGAAGGTGTCCTGAGCTCAGGTGAAGAGGGTGGGGGAATTCTAGGTCATTCCCAGCTCCTCAGCACCCCCAAGGAGGCCAGCCAGTACAGATCCCCATCGGGGGGCCCTTTCTCCCCCTCTCCCTCAGCCCTGGAGGAGCAGCTGAGCCTTGCTGCCCCCCCCCCTTCACTGTCTCTAAAGGAAGGTGACGGGGACCCCATGTGAAAGCAACTTCAGCTGCCATGGGCTGTGCGAGGCAGACGCAGGTGGGTTTGTTCCCGTGGGGAGGTGGGGCCTGTCCACTCTCCCAGGTGACCCCCCGACGGGAGGGGCCATACTGAGGTCACGGGCAGCAAGGGCAGGGCTGCAAGCTGGGGTCCCCAACGTCTCCCACTCAGACCATGTTGGGGTGCACCCTCGGGAGACTGCTAGCCTTCAGAACGCCAAGCACCTGTGAGTCTCTGTCTGGGGGGGTCGGGGTGGGGGCGGGGAGCTCACCATACCTGCCACTTCTGGAGGTGGCCCCACAGCTGCTGGAAATGGTACAGAGCCAGGCTTCCGCCATGCTGCAGGTGGGCCTCAGGTTAGAATGAAGTTCTCTCAAATGGGACCAGAGCCCCCCGCCGAGGCCTGCCCCATCATGTACCCCGAAACAGCGCAGCAGAAGTTCACAGGTCCTGGGGCCGATCTCTCGGAGAATCCCCCGGTTATGCGCCCTGGCTGCAGAGAAAAACCGACCAAACACCCGGCACTCCACGACTGGGGTGGGGGCTGGAAGAACCAGGGGTGGGGCCCCCCAGAGCCAGGCTCCCCGCCTTCCCCTGAGAGATCGTGAGGGCTGCCACGGGACACACATGGGGGCGCATACCCACAGACGAGCTCAGGGTCCCCGACTCACCGGGCTCCAAGGCGATGTTCAACAAGATCTGGAGCTCAGGGGCGCAGAGTTCCTCCTCCTGCACAAGCGAGGAGGGAAGGGCCGGGAGGTGACCCACTGGGGCACGGGGACAGAGCCCCATGGTGGGGGAGGGGGGGGGGAAGCTGTACCCCTGGTGTCAAGGACAGCGCTCTGGCTAACCAGAGGAGCCCTGGGAGGCGGCCTTGCGCCAGCGGCCGCTAGGGGGCGGGTGGAGGCAGGCGGGCGGCCAGCGCAAAGGTCCTGAGGCAGGACTGGCTGGAGGGAAGACCGAGACTTAAATTCCGGGGGGTGGGGGGGGGTGGGGGGTGCACTGAGACGTCCAGGATGAGGAAGGGGCTCCAGAGCAGAACAGAACACAGTCCCCCTCACCTCTCCTGCCAGCTCCAGGAACAGCAGTTCCAACCCCAGGTCCAAGGGCCAGTAGGGCACCTGCAGGGGCGGGAGGAGGAGTTTAGCTGCGACCCGGGGGAAGAGGGCTCGCCGACGCGCCCCCCGCCGCCCCTCACCTCGAGGGCGTGCAGGTCGGCGCTGATGACGTCGTCGATCTCCCTGCGGAGGACAGGCGTGATGGGGGGGAGGGGTGGGCGGGAGCAGGGGTGGGGGGCGACCGACCCCGGCGCGGGGGCTCACACGGCGGTGTGGCGGCGCTCGGTGAAGATGCGCAGCGTGAAGTCGGCCTCGTCGCCCGTGCGGGTGGCGCTGGGCACCACCAGGTAGTGGCCGGGCGGCAGGCGGCAGCGGCGGCTCACGTCGCGGCGCGCGCAGAAGGGCGAGCGGTCAGCGCGCAGCAGGTTGGGCAGCAGCGCGCGGCTGCGGGGCGAGTCCCAGAGGGGCAGCAGCTGGGGGGCGGGGCGGGGAGGGGCGTGAGCGGGGACCCCCTCCGGACCCCGCGCCGGGGGTCGCCCTCCCCGCACGCGCGCGCCCCGCCTCCCGGGCTGGTTGCAGGAGGTCCCACCTCCTCCGGGATCTGTGGGAAGAAGGAAGGGCAAAGGGGGTCAGGATGGGTGGGGGTCCAGACGGGGCATGCAGGACCCTTCAGATCTCCCCCCCCCCAACATCTAAGCCTTTCCTCCGTTTCCTTCTGTGCCTTTCTTGCACCCTGGTCCCCTTCCCCTCCCCAGCGCCCCCTCCTTCCGACCCTGCCCCGCACCCCTCCTTCTGTGCCCCTCTTGCACCATGGTCCCCTTCCCCTCCCCAGCGCCCCCTCCTTCTGACCCTGCCCCGCTCCCCGCCCTCTGGCCGCACCCCACCCTCCCACCTGGAACACGTGGAAGCCCACGCTGAGGTAGCTGAGGCCCTGCGCGCGCAGGCGTCGCCGGTTGCGCTGGATGAGGGACAGCAGGACCGTGCACTTGGGCAGGCGGCCGCCGCGAGGACAGTCGTCGTCGTCCTCCTCCTCCTCGTCCGGCTCCAGCAGCGTCAGCCGGAACTGGGGGTTGGTCCAGAAGGTGCCTGGTGCCGAGACGGAGAGCAGTGGGGGTGAGGCGAGCGAACGCAGAGCCCCCGGTTCCCGGCTCTCTCTGGGGGCGGGCCCCCTGTCCCAGCCTCACCGGCCCCGGGCTGGCTCCCGCCGGAGTTGAAGCCTCGCACCCAGCGGCCCTGGAACGTGTGGATGTGCCAGCTGCCACCCGCCGGCAGCGGGCCCAGCACGTCGGGGCTCAGCGAGCAGATCTGGACCGTGTTGAAGTGGCGCAGGAAGTCCTGAAGCTCCATCCTGGGGAGCCCCCCACCCCCTCCCCGTCAGCTGGCAGCGCGCACACAGAGCTGCCCGATGAGGGGAGCCCCAACCCCACCATCCCCCCACAAATCCTCCAAATCCCAGAACCCTTTGGCACTTCAAGAAATCTCCCCCAAAGGCCAAGGTCCACCAGGGTACCCCCCCCCCACCCATATTGCCAATTTGCCCCCTTCAGCCGCTTCCTAGTGCCAAGTCTCCAGAAATCCCTGGATGTTACATCTCCTGAATGCAACCCAGCCCTCAGGGTCACTGTGCCTCCAGGACATCCCCCCCCCACACACACACACTCCAGAATCCCCTATCCCAGGTTTGGTTGACACCCCCCCGGAGGGCTCCCTATTCCAGGGCCCTCCCCGACTCGCCAGAACTCGCCGTCTTCCTTCTTCACTAGCAGGGCCTCTCGCCACTCGGTGGGTAGTGTGTCCCAGCGTGGGCAGCTGCGAGATGAGGGTGGTGAGCATGGGCAGATGAGGCTGGGACCCCTCCCCTTCCCTTCCCTGCCCCCAGATCCTTCCCACCTGTCGCTCCAGGCCCCGTTCCACTCCACGCGGCCCCACGGGTTCCGAAGCCGCAACAGCCGTACTTTGGTGAAGCCCAGGGTCACCTGCGAAGCGATGGTCAGTGGGATCGGGTGGGGACACCGGGACTCCCCCCACCCAGCTCACCCACCAGGAGACCCACCTTGTGTGTGCCCGTGACTGAGTACGCATGTCCCTTCACCAGCCCGTCCTCTGTGCGGTACTCCCCCCGGTTACTCTGGGCAGAGGATGGGGGACAGTGAGGCCACGGGGGGGGGGGGGGGTCAGACAGGAGATGGCTGCTCCTCTCTGACCCCCTCCCAGCTCCTGACACCAAGGCAGGTGTCCACTGAAGGTCTGCGTCTTCATGGGACTCCAGAAGACGGCAGGAGTTGGTGGGGCAAAGGCCAGCGGATCAGTGCTAGATCTTCTCTTTTTTTTAAAATTTTTTTTCATGTTTTTTTTTTTTTTTGGAAGGGGGCACACCTGGCAGTTTTCAGAGCTCACTCCTAGCTCTGTGCTCAGGGATCTCTCCTGGCGGGGATCAGGGAATCATACGGGGTGCCAGGGGTCAAACCCAAGTCAGCAGCATATAAGACCAGTTCCTTCCCGTTGTTCTATCACTCCAGCCTGTGGAATCTTTTGGATGGAAAGAGGAGTTGGGGGCCCAGGTGGCAGAATGGTGCCCTTTGTATGCGGAAACCCTGGGTTTGATCTTAGAGGCCACGTGGTCTCCTTACCACTTGCTGGGAGCGAGACCACCTGCTGGGAGCGACCCTCCCCACCCCACATTGCCCAAACAGAACAAAACCTAGAGGAGACAAACACCAGCAAGTAGAAAGATACAAAACAGGGAGAGAGACAGAGAAACACAAAAGACAAAAATAATTGGAAGCCCAGTAAGGCCACAAGTGGAGGAAGGATGACCGAAGTGGGGGTCACCATGGGGTCACCCACAAAAATCAACCCTAGGGAGTGAGGGGTGGCTCCGTGGGCTGGAGCACAGGCTTTTCTGAAAATCTAAGAGAAAAAAAAAAGAATTTTTCTGCTTGTTTTTGAATCCCAGGGCTGGGCTGGAGCAGTAATATAGCAGGGAGGATGCTTGACTTGCACATGGCCAACCCAGATTAGATTCCTGACACCACACAAGTCTCCCTGAGTCCCACCAGAAGTGATCCTTGAGCACAGAGCCAGGAGTGAGCCCTGGGTACTACTGGTGTGGCCTTCCAAAAAATATATAGTCCCTGGGTAATAAGAGGTGTGGGGGGATTTTGGGGGAGTGGGGGGGCAGTTTTCATATCCATGAGGAGAAAGCTGAAAACCTGCTGGGAAGGATGCTATTCAGGAACTGACTATAAACCTGTCTATAACAACCTCTGGGCGCCTGGATCCAGTGGTGCTTGAAGCTGGTGGTTATAGCAACAAAGTAATCTCCTTGGACTTGTTCCAGCTTGACTTTTGAGACAGTGAAACCAGAGAGAAGGACCCAGGATACCTGCTCTCTAGCCCCAACTGAGTCCTGGTCCAGGAAAGGGTTTTGGAGCAGGGGGCTGGGAGGGGTAGTCTCACCAGTGCAGTGGCGCCCACTAGGGACTCTTTCATAAGGGCATGGCGCAGGATGGGGAAGAGTCCAGGGATGTCCTGCCTCAGGTAGAGCACCTCGCCGATGCCACCCGTGAAGTCCACGAAGGCCTCGTTCATGTGGCCGCCCTGCATCACCTCGTAGGAGCCATGCAGCCTGTGGGGTGGGGGAGGGGTCTGAGTGTGGACCAGTGTCTCAGGCATCGCTGGTCCACACTGAGACCTGGGGGGGGGGGGTACCGTCTGTCCCTGGGGACCTCAGACCCGGGAGACAGGATGCCTTGGGGACACCAAACCATATGATTAGGGGCTCCTAGGAGGGGCGCATCAGAAAGGTGCTGCTTTGGGGGAAGGCAGCTTTGGGGGGAGGGTAGCTCTCGGGGAGGGGGTCCCTTTGCAGCCAGTCAGGGGCCTCAGAGCCCCAAGAAGGAGGAAAGCCAGTATCTAAGAGCACCAGGGGTCCCACCCATTTTTTTAAAAAAAATTTTGTTTTGGAGTCACACCTGGTGATGCTCAGGGGTTACTCCTGGCTCTGCACTCAGGGATCACTCCTTGCAGCACTTGGGGGGCCCTATGGAATGCCAAGGATCAAACCTAGGTTTCCCACGTTCAAGGCAAGCGCCTATCCACTGTGTTATTGCTCGGGCCCACCACCCAGTATTTTGGATCCGGTTTGTGGAACTGGTCAGGGGTGACCACATTTGGTGGCCTGGGAGAGGGAGTTCAGGCTCCTTGAGAATGCTGGGTGTTAGGGGAGGGCCTGGTGACCTAGTGACCTAGAGACCTAATGACCTAGTGTTCACTTCCTGGGCAGAGTCGATGTGAAAGTTGATGGGGGGTTGTTCAGGTTGGGGGTCTCGGGGTGGGTGTGATCTGGCAAGTATGTAGAGCTCAGAGTTGGGGGACTTTGGGAGGTGATGTGCCTTGGGGCCAGCTGTCTGGAACTTCTTGTGGGAGGGATGCAGGGGGGGGAGGTTCTTACTTGGCATAGGCCTTTTCCAGAAGTGGAGCCCAGAACTCATTCCGCTGCTCAGAGCGCACGAACATCAGCTTCCCGTTCCGCACAGGCAGCCGGTCATCTACCACCACGTCAACCCAGCGGCCAAACTGCCAGATCTGCAGGCAGAAAACTGGGCCAGTGCTTCAGCCTCTGTTCCCACTGACCCCACCACCCGGCCTGGCCCCCCGCATGCCCCTCCGCCTGCCAACCCCCACCTGCCCGGCCTGGGTTATACTGCCCACCTACTGCTGCTATCAACCCTCACCCACACCATCAGCCCAGAGACTCAGGGAAGGATGTTGGAGTCACAGGGAGAAACTGAGGCACACAGAAAGCACCTGCCCAGCTTTACCTGGAAGTGGAAGACCCCTGCGTAACCATTCCGAAAGCTCTGTCCCAGGGGCACGACCCGGCGCAGCAGCCGCGGGTACAGTGTGAGGGAGGCAGCGGCCGCCAGAAGCCAGCAGTTACCTGGGAGGGTGCACAGAGGGAGACTGAGGCACAGGGAGAGGAGTGCCTCTGGCTGGATGGGGCCTGGGCAGTTGGTAGGTCTTACCCAATCTCCCCTGACACACATCTGTCCTGCTCACGTCCTCGCAGATGAAGTGGGGCTCAGCACAGAACTCCTGCGGGTGGATTCAGGTGGGGAAGGAACCATTGTGGGTCAGGGCTGACCGCCCGCTGCGCCCCGTAATGAGCATCTCCAGCCCAGAGGCTTGTAAAGCCTGCAAGGCTGGAAGCTTCCCTGTGCCTCCTGCACACAGCAGGGCTGAGCCCCCTGCCCTCCTCCCTCAGACCCAGGAACATAGACCCTCCTCTCTCAATCTCCAAGAGGAACACAGTCCCTCTTCCCTCAGACCATCCTTTCGACTCAGGAACACAGACCCACCTCCCTCAGACCCAGGAACACAGACCCTCTTCCTTCAGACCCTTCCTCAGACCCAGGAACACAGACCCTCCTCTCTCAATCTCCAGGAACACAGCCCCCATCCTCCTCCCTCCAAATATACAGTCCCAGGCCAGAGCCATAGTACAGCAGGAGGAGGGCGTTTGCCTTGGAGGCGGCCGACCCAGATTCAATCCTCGGCATGCAGTATGGTCCCCGAGCCCACCAGGACTGATTCCTCAGTGCAGAGCCAGGAGTAAGTCCTGAGTATCTCCAGTTGTGGCCCCCAAACAAAACAAAAAACACAGTCCCTCCTCCCTCAGACTCACAAACCCATCTCCCACCCGCCTCCCTCAGATCTAAACACAAACCCCTCCACCCCCCTTAGCCCCAGCCCCACTTTACATGCGGCCTCTTCCATTCCACCCCTTTGGCCCTCTCGGAGTCGGGCCCGAGCAGGTCATGGCCGAGGGCCTCTGCGCCAGCCGGGAAGTAGGGGTCTCGGAACAGGATCCCCTCCTGCAGGCAGGTGGCCCGGATTGCTTCGTAGTTCTGACCCCGAAAGAGCTTGGGGCCCCGGGCCTCGGGGCTGGCCTCGTCCTCCACCAGCTGGATGGTGACCTTGCCGCTGTCACACGCCATGGGACTTCTGGGCTGGCAAGCTGGCCTCTGGTCCTTTAACTTCCTGAGTCATGGGGCGGGGCCTCCCCATCCCCCCATGGGGGGGTCTTGAGGCCCCTGAGCCTGGCTTGTGAATATTAATTGATGGTTTGGGGTGCCGGGGTGCAGGACGCCTCTCCAGTGGTTTCCTCCCCAGGGCGTGGGGCCTTCAGTTGTGGCCTGGCCACAGCTTAATAGGCTTGGCCGGTGGCAGAGCTGGGGGGTGGGGCTGCGCCGTGGGGGCGCCGAGAAGGAGGTCAGAGGCAGCTCCCAACTGCACGGACCCCCTCTGAGTTTCTGTGGCTCTCTTGTCTCTGTCCTGTCACTCTCCATATCCTCTGGCACAGGGAACCTGGGAGGAACCTAATCCTGTTTCCTGCCATTCTGGGCTCAGCGTCTGTGGCCCACGATTCCCCCAAATATATGCTGGAGGCACTGGAGATGGAGGAACAAGGGCCGAGCGGCCAGAAACTCACCCACTTCCGGTCCAGCTGATCCAGCACTGGGGTGTGGCACCCCAGTGCAGATAGGCCCCTCCCCCTCCGAGTGCTCCCCAAAGATGTTGTCTGAACCCCCAGCTGTATGTATGGGCCTGGAGAAGTGGTTGGTTATAAGGCTGGGGCCACGGTACAGCAGGTAAGCAGCTTGCCTTGCACTCCGCCCACCAGGGTTCGAATCCCTTGCACCCCGTATGGTCCTCTGAGCATCGCTAGGAGTAATCCTTGAGCTCAAGAGTATTGAATGGTGTGGCCAAAAAAACAAATCCAAAATACCCCCCTCTCTACCGCCCTCTCACCCCAAAAAAAGCCTGACGGTAGTCTTGTTAGGCCAACTCTCTGCCCTGGTCTGCGGACCCCTGTGGGCTGCTGGCCGCCAGCTCCCCTTTCAGGAGAGTTCCTTGGCATACGGCCCCCAGTACGCCTTACATCCCGGGTTCCTAAGATGCTCTCCCGGGTCAAGAGGAAAATCAGATTTCATAGGAGTGGATGTCTGTAATTTTGAGAGCCCAGCACCAACTCCTGGCATAAGCACCCTACGGTGCTTTGGGATCAATGAATCCCTCATTCTCCAGTCAGATAGCTCAGGAGAGCTGCCCCGCCCCCAACCCCGTGTTTGACTTGGACTAGCCAGTCAGAGCCGCGATGTCTCTGACCACGCCCCCTACCCACACCTGGGGATCCCACGTGTGTGGGGTGGGGGTTGGGTCTCGCTTTCTCTGGGACGCTAAGAGGGTGCAGGGGGGTTCCTCTGTTTCTGCTCGGTGGCTGCAAATGAGCGAAGAATGAACAGTCAGGTTCTCAGAATCCGCAACCTTTTTTTTTTTCTTTTTGGGTCTCACCTGGCGATGCTCAGGGGTTACTCCTGGCTCTTGCACTCAGGAATCACTCGCGGTGGTGCTCGGGGCACCATATGGGATGCTGGGAATTGAACCTGGTCAGTCGCGAGCAAGGCAGACGCCCTACCCACTGTGCTATCTCCAGCTCAGAATCCTCAATCAAGTTGTAGGTGAACCAAACTCTGGTTCAAGGAGCTGATCAATTCTGTGCCTTCCGATTTCCTTTTTCTTTTTCTTTTTTCTTTTTCTTTTCTTTTTTTTTTCTTTTTGGGTTACACCCAGAGATGCTCGGGGTTACTCCTGGCTCTGCACTCAGGAATTACTCCTGGCGGTGCTCAGGAACCACATGGGATGCTGGGAATCGAACCGTGGTCAGCCGCGTGCAAGGCAAACACCGTACCTGTTGTGCTATTGCTCTAGTCCCTCTTTTTCTCTTCTTTGTTGATTTATTTTATTTTGGTTTTGGAGCGATAGCACAGCGGTAGGGCGTTTGCCTTGCATGCAGCCAACATGGCCGACCCGAGTTCGATTCCTCTGCCCCCCTCAGAGAGCCCGGCAAGCTACCGAGAGTATCTCGCCCGCACAGCAGAGCCTGGCAAGCTCCCCGTGATGTATTCGATATGCCAAACACAGTAACAACAAAGACTCCAATGAAGACGTTACTGGGCCCGCTCGAGCAAATCAATGATCAGCGGGAGGGCCTTTACCTTTTACCTTTGGTTTTGGAGGCCACACCAAATGCTCAGGGGTTAATCCTGATTCTGTATTCAGGGATCATTCCTAGTGAGACTTTGGGGACTGGTGTACCGGTCAACCCAGTTGATCCCAAGCGAGGCAGTGATCCTACCCTCTCTACCGTCAGTCTGGCCCATCTTTGTTTTTGTGGTGCCAGGAATCAATCCAGTGCCTCGCACATGCAAGACATATACTCTACCACAGAGCCACACCCCGGTTCTTTTGGTCACTAGCAACTAAAAGAAAACTTTGCTTCTGCAGCTGAGAGCTCTGCAGCGGTTCCCCTGGCCCGGACGTCCAGGACATCCATCCATTAAGGAATAAGGGCTCCCAGATCCAGCCAGGAAGTAAGGATCTGAAACAGGTTTACTCTGTCCCCACTCCATCCTACCTCCTTACCGCAAAGTATAGAAGATGCTGCTTCTCCAAGGCTGCATTTGAGTCATTTAAAAAAAAATCTGGGGGCTGGTGCGATAGTACAGAGAGTAGGGCATTGGCCTTGCACATGGCTGACCAGGGTTCAATCCCCTTCATCCCATATGATCTTCAAGCCCTCCAGGAGGGATCCCTGAGCTCAGAGCCAGGAGGAAGCCCTGAGTGTGGTACCCCAAACTAATTTCTGGGGGCTAGAGAGAGAGTTCAATAGACTGGAATATACGCATTGCATATGAGAGGCCTAGGTTTGAGTCCTGGAATTGCATGGTTCCCTGACCACTGAGCCAGGAGTACCCTCAAGCACTGCTGGTTGTGATTCCTCCAAGCAAAACAAAGCACAAAAGATTCTGGGTCAGGGATGTAGTTCAGTGGTAAAGCACGAGCTTTCTGATTTTTTTGTTTAGGGTGGATGCACCAGAGATGCTTACTCCTGGCTGGCTTGGGAGACCATATGGGGTTCTAGGGATTGAACTGGGCTCACTGCATGCAAAGTGAGCACCCTCCTGGTTGGCTCTGGCCCTGTCAAATGCTCCCTTTATCAATGGTTTTCTGTGTCTGCAGGAGGTGCTGTTCTCAGCACTTTGTATCATCTCATTTAATCTCCCTGTGAACATGGAGCAGTACAGCTGTGTTTGACACATGCAGCATTTCTATCTGCTGGAGCCTGACACCAAACATGAGAACTCAAACAGCAGCTGTTCATTGCTCGGTGCAGATAGTCTGAGATCAGAGTGCTTGCATGTGAGTGAGTGCTCCCTTCCCAGCCGCAAATGCAGCCTTCTCACTGCACCTTCCCAGGGCTGCATCTCTCTTCTCTCTCTCTCTCTCTCTCTCTCTCTCTCTCTCTTTTTAGGTCACATCCAGCGGTGTACAGCGGTTACTCCTGGCTCATACACTCAGGAATTACTCCTGGCAGTGCTCGGGGGACCATATGGGATGCTGGGAATCGAACCCAGGTCGGCTGCATGCAGGGAAAACGCCCTACCCACTGTGGTATTGCTCCAGCCCCTCTCTTCTCTTCTTATAGAGGTGCTGATCCCATCATTGGGTCTACCCACAAGCCTTTAATCTGCATCTAAAGCACCTCCTCTCTCCTAACAACACACTGGAAGTTAGTGCTTTCACCTCTTCATGAAGGGGCATATGAAGGGTCAGCCTCATCACAAGAGGTAAGGTTTAGGGTGACCCGGTTTTACGAAGGCAGAAACTGAGGCACAGGGGAATATGCTTTGTCCATTCTCTTGCAGTTGCAGTTGGTTTGTTTTACCTCTCAAAAGATTAAAATTCAGAGGGGTCAGAGAGATAGTACAGTGGGTAGGGGGTTTGCTTTTAACGCGGCTGACCGGGGTTCAATCCCCAGCATCCCATTTGTCGCCCTGAGCACAGCCAGGAGCAATTCCTGAGCTCAGATTCAGGAGTAACCCCTGAGTACTATCAGGTGTGCCCCCCTCCCCCCAAAAAATCCAACCAAACAAAAAGATTAGAATTCAGAATATACAACAGCACCTAGGCCCAGGGATGAGACTCAATGTGTAGCTCACATGCTTTGCCTGTGTGAGGCCCTGAGTTCCATCACACTGTGGTCATAATGGCCTCCAAGGAACACAGGATAATCTTCATCCCCAAGTACTTGGGCATAACCCCCACAACAACCAAAATAACAACAGCAATAACACAATAACTCCTATAGAGAAATAAGTGTCAACTTCATTGAAAGTGGGTGAAAGAAGGCTGATGAGATAGTTTAGGGGGTAAGGTGTATACCTTGCATGCTGCTAATCTCAGTTCAATCCTTGGTACTGCACTCCATGGTTCCCTGAGACCTGGTGGGAGCACTGAGCCAAGAGTAGCTCTGAGCACTAGCAAATCACTGACCTAGAAAAATAGGAAGGAAGGAAAGAAGAAGGGAAGAGGAAAGAAGGAAGAAAGGAAGGAATGGGTAAGGACATGAAGAAGAAGGGCTGGAGAGAGAATCAAGAGCTGAACACATGCTTTATATGCACGTTGCTTGGGTTTGACGCCCAGCGCTACATAATCTCCTCCAGGATATGGCCTCAGACCACTGAGCCAGGAGCCCTGAGCACTGCCAGGGATGACCCTCCCAACCAAAATATTAATCCTAATATGAACGAAAAATACCAACAAGCAACTGCAGAGTCCATGGCCTGTTAGCATTGGGAAATATGCTCAGTCTCCCGGAAATGCTCATTAGGACCCCAGGAAACGCCATGATGCCACGGGATTAGGAAGAAAGTGGAACAACCGGGAAGCACTGAGCCAGCAGGATGCGGGGCAACAGTGTTGGCCTGGGAGAGGTGTGGCTTGGCGCAAAGCCCTTTGGCATTGCTCAGTAAATACCTCTCCCATGACCCAGCACTTCCACACCCAGGTGCACCGAGTAAAGAAACACAGCCGCGCGTGTTCCGCGGGGCACCTGCAGAAATGCTCGCTGCAGCCCATTCTGTGACCTCTCAGA